GCCACTGTGACTGTCCTCTGCTCCTGTTCATTAGCACAACTGGCTGAAGGAGAAAAGCTATGGAAAATGTCAAAGGACCGAACTTGTGTTATCTGTGTTCTGCAAATTGAGGAACTGAGGCCTGGAGAGGAAGTGCATACTCATTTTACAAAGATAGACAGGCAGAAAGCTATAAGATCTCTCTGGTTAGGAGGGGAAAAGAGAAATACAACCGGCTACCTCCTATGCCTTGATGTAGCGGTTGTCACCAACTTGGCTTCTCAGCCTGCAATTGCCAAAGACAGGCTGCACTGTATGTCATCTTGTGGAAGACAAATGATCTATAAATAATTGGCTTGGAACAGTCTCAAATACACAAAAACCACAATGGCTTTAAAAGTAAATCTTGACTCCCCCCCCCTCATTTTCCTTCTCTTGTTGGAGAGGTAAGCAAGGAAGATTCCGTAAGATAGGCCTTACTGAAATTCAACCCAAGAAACCAGGAAGTTCTTTGTATTTTCTTTAATGAGCATATTTCATTACCAAATATTTGTTTAAAAGCTCCTTTAGTCAATAATTCATCTCTAAGCATGTGCCTGCATATCAGACTTAAGCTCCTGCTCATTATATCAATTCTTTAAAAACATTCATTTTCCAAAGGAGGTAATTATTTATTTTGTCATTCAATTTCCCATCGTTAAAACTTTCATATGTAAATCACTGGATACTGATAGGACACGGGATGTGTAAAGAGGAAATGTTTTCAGTGACTAAACTGGAGCAAAAGATTATTGATGGATCTTCCATCTGAGGAGGAATCAGAGACAAATTTCTGAATAATATCTAGTATAGTTGTGGGAGCTACCAGAATGCAGAGTAATGGTGGCCTTAGGGCTCTGTTTTCAGCTCAGATTCTGCAGCAGAGGTACCCTCTTTTAAATAACATTCTTACTAGTATTTCATTTGTAGGATGCCTTTCCCACATGGCATCATTACATCACCACAGGACAACAGAAGCACAGGATCCTGAGTTTTCATTGAACAACCATTCATCTGAAAGGAAGGTCACAGGGTTGCCAATACTCACTTAAAAAGCACTTATTTTATGCCTGATTTGCATGACTGACAGAAAGAAAATCCATCTCTGGCCTAGTAAATACTTTTGAAGGCATTTGAAAATGTCTAACTTGGCTAAAAGAGGTTGAATTCTACTGAAGCTTTACCAATGGGTGCAGATAGCTACTGGAAAAGGGCTTGGTCTTGCTGAACAGGAAGATGCTATAGAGGGAACCTTCTTCTCAGAAAAAATTATTTCAACTTGGCTTGCTAAGAAATGCTATTCGCTACGTTTAGAAGGTCCACATGTTTGTTCTTTTTACTAAAAATTCAAAGGCCTTGATATGGCCCAAGATGATTTTTTTTTCTAGATGGCTGTTCTTCCAACAACCGCCTTAAGGAATTTAGTTTGAGCATTAAACCCTAGTTCGTTTCTAACTTCCCAGTGCCCTCTCCTATGCTCTGCTGGCTCTAGTATGCCTAACCACTGGCAGCTCCTACATCAAGCCATACAATTGCATGCCTCTGGGCCTTTGTTTTTGTTTTTTCCTTTCATCTAAACTTTGATTCCCTCTTCATCCCTAACTTCCTGTTTTTTCCTGCCCATTTATCATTTCAGACTTAATTTAGGAGTCATCTTTAGGAATCCTTTTTGGAACCTGTGGTAAACTAAGGTCCACTCCTCTGTGCCTTGTAGGCCCCCCTCTATGGTAACAGTTATGTTATATTCAAATTGAGTTCACACAGTAGGTATTCACTATCTGCTTGTTAAATATTCCAGGTTATGGACAGCCTTGCTTATTTTGGGGAGGGCCAAGAGCTAGTTTGAAAAAAAAAGTGTGTGATAAAATACACACAACATTTGCCATCTTCACTATTCATTAGTGTACAGTTCAGTGGCATTGAATGCACTCATAATGCTGTGCAACAATCACTACCATTCATCCCAGAACTTTTTTCATCTTGTAGAACTGAAACTCTATACTCATTAAACAATGACTCCCCATTCCCTAGCCCCAGCCCCTGGCAGCTACTTTGACTCTATGATTTTGACAATTCTAAGTACCTATGTAAATGGAATCATACAGTATTTGTTCTTTTTGTGACATGTTGTAGCATATTGTAAAATTTCCTCCATTTTCAAAGCTGAATAATATCCCATTGTAACCATATTTTCGCTATTAATTAATCCATTGATGGGAATTTGGGTTGCTTCCATGTTTTAGCTATTCTGAAATGTTGCTGCTATAAATATGAATGTACAATGTCTTTTCAAGATTCTGCTTTCAGTTTTTTTGGGTATATATATCTATAAGTGGAATTGCTGAGACAATCTGGTAATTCTTTTTTTAATTTTTAAAGAAACTATCTATTGTTTTCCTTAGTGGCTGATCCATTTCACTGACTCCTCACAAACAGTGCACAAACAAGGGTTCCAGTACCAAGGAGCTGTCATATGGTTTTTAAAATGTCCATTTAAATTTGAGACATTAGAGACCCAAAAGGACAAATTCGTTATGAAGGGAAGATATATTACAGTGACCTACCCTGTGCCAGGTGCTTCAACATTTTACATTCACTCAAATAATATCTAATAAAACAGTGATATGAAAAATTAACTGCACCTCTGCTACACCCACAAACCACGCCCACCAGCCAATCAGGAGTGAGTATGCAAATTGACCCAACAAAGATGACTGCAGCCACAGACCTGCAGCAAGTAGGAGGTTTGTGTTTCCCTGGCAATGGAGGAGCCCAAGCTTCTCTGCCACCCTGGCTAGCTGGCCCAGGCTACAAAGTTTCAATTATAGAAGATAAATAAATCCCAACAAAAATGGCAGCAGACACAGAGCTGGAGAGAGCAGGAGGCTTGAGTTGCCCCTGGCAATGAAGGAAGCCAAGCTCCTGCAACCCTGGCCTGCCTTGGCCTCTGCTCACAGCTACAAAGTTTCAATTATAGAAGATAAATAAACCCTAGATACCAGGGCCTCTGCTTGGGTTCTCAGAAGGCATAGCCAGCCTGCAAACTACCACCGGCCCCTCGCCCAGGCTGCTCCACACCCCAAGGGAACTCCACCCTGATCTGGGACATCCTTCAGGGCAAACCAGCAGGCCCCCACCCGTGCACCAGGCCTCTATCCTATCTAATAAAATAGTAGTATGCAAATTGACTATCACTCCAACACACAAGATGGCTGCCCCCATGTGGTCAAAGATGACTGCCCCCATGTGAACGCAAGATGGCCGCCACTTATGGCCAGCAGGAGAGGGTAGTTAGGGGCAATCAGGCCGGCAGGGAAGCAGTTAGGCATTGATCAGGCTGGCAAGGGGAGTGGTTAGGGGGGGATCAGGCTGGCAGGCAGAAGCGGTTAGGGGCAGTCAGGAAGGCAAGCAGACAAGCAGTTGGGAGCCAGCAATCCTGGATTGTGAGAGGGATGCCCGACTGCCCTTTAAGGCCTGATCCTACCTGGTTGGAAAGGGTACAGGCTGGGCTGAGGGACACCAACCCACTGGCCAGCACAAATTTCATGCACTGGGCCTCTAGTCCTATATAAAAGGCTAATAATATGCAAATCAACCCAATGGCAGAATGACAGGTCACCATGATGCACACTGACCACTAGGAGGCAGCTGCTCAACGCAGAAGCTGCCCCTGGTGGTCATTGTGCTCCCATTCTGCGCCGCTCAGCCAGAAGCTAGGCTCATGACAAGCAGAGCAGAGTTGGTGAGAGCCTCTCCAGCCTCAGAGGGCGCTAACGATGTCTGACTGCCAGCTTGGGGTGCAGGCCAGGCTGAGAGGGCTGCCCCCCTATCTCCATCCCCACCCCACCCCACCCCACCCCACCCCACTCCCACCCCCAGTGCACGAACCTAGTGCATCGGGCCTCTAATTATTATATAATTCTCCCAATAATCTGATAGGCATTATCATCTCCATTTTATAAATTAGGCTAAAAATTAACTAACTCATCCAAGGTCATTCATCCAAGGAAGTGACCTAACCAAAACTCAGACCCAGGGCTGACTCCAAACCAGAACCCAGTCAAGGAGCTTCTGGGAGTGACTAACCCCACAGAATCTCGAATACTGAGGGGTTTGACTTCCTTTTCCCTAGTAAATTATCCCTGGCAAGGAAGGCCTTTCCAGATAGTCAACTGAGCAGCTGCATGTGCCCTCATCCAGGTTTTCACGGGTTTTAGGAGGGAGCAAAATGTAAAATGCGTGGCCTCCACGAGGCTGAAATACGAAGGTGAGCGCGGGATACGGTTTTCCTGAGGGCTTTCTACATCCCCTTAGGTGTCTACCCACCCCTACACAACGGGCGGCAAACTATCCGCGAGTGTTGCGGGGACGCGCGGGCGGAGGAGGGTTCCCCGGACAAGCGCAGGGAAAACGACCTGCCGCCCGGCGCAATCGGCGCGGTCGCCAGGGCAGCGCGGCCGGCGGCGCAGCAACGGCAGAATCCGCACCGCGTCCCCGCGGCGGCGGCGGCGGCCGCTGCGAGCCCGAGTGACGCATTGCAGGTACAAACCGGCCAATCAGAGGCCGGCTCAACGTCGCTCACACACACGCGTCTCTACGGCAATGCTCCTCCGCGCCGCAAAGTAGCGCCCCTCGGACGCCTCTCTTTGGGCATTTTAACGGCTTCCCAGAGGATAAAAACCACTTACGTCATCCGTGTGTCCACTTCTCTTTACCCTTTGCGTCGTCGACCGAATAACTGCGGGTGATAAAGGGTTCTCGAGAAGAGTTTTGCCGGGGGAGTGGGGGGTGGGGGGAGGTGCCTGGGGGGAAAAAGGCCGGGACTCGTTTGTGATATTCCGTTATCTGGCATGCGGCGGAGGGATCCGGCGGAGGGAGGTGTTTATGAGGCGCTGGGGGCGGAGGAGGAGAATTAGTCCGAGTGGAGCGAGCGAGCTGACTGGTTGTGTAGTTGCGTCTCGGAGACCGGTAGCGCTTGCAGCATGGTGAGTGCGTTGGTAGGCTGCTGGCGCTTGGCCTGTGGGGGAAAGAAGCTGAAGCGGATTGACTAAAAAAGAAAGGGGACTCGCTCCCCGAATACCTCCAGGGAGTGGTCTTCGCCCGCCCGAAGGCGCGCTGGGGCCTGGGGGCGCCCGCGGCGGTTGTGTCGCAGGTGCCCTCCCACCCCTATTCTCCTCAAGAATCTGCCCCCTGGGGCATGGGGAGGCCAGCAACCCTGCTCCCGAGACCGTCCGGTCCTGGGGGCTCGGCCGAGTGAGGATGGATCCGGGGTGGGGGGCAGCCCGGCACACGAGGGAGACGAAGGAGTGGAAGGGCGGGCGGGCGGGGGGGAAGAAGCAGCAGGAGCGCCAGAGCTTTGGGTCGGGCATCTCGAAAGGTCAGCCCCGGGGCCGGATTCAAAAGCCCCAACGGACGGTTAGCGCGGTTGCCAGGAAGCGCCTTTGTCCGCTGGTGGCCGCCATGCGCCGAGGAGGCGGGAGGGAGGGAGCGCGCGAGCCCGGGCGAGCGCCGCCGCCGCGGTTAGCCCGCAGCCTCCGCGCGCCGGGGGAGGGGGCGCCGGGGCCGCGCGAGCGGGTGCGGCGCGCTGTGTGGGCCGAGTCCACGCGGCGCGGGGAGCGGCGGGGGTTGGGGGGGCCGGAGCCGCCGCCGCCCGCCCGGCTCGCGCCCCAGCTGCTGCGCTGGCACCTGCAGGGCTGCGGAGGTCCGGCGGCCGCGGCGCTGCGGGGCTGGCGGGTTGGGGTTGGGGATGGGGGTGGGGGAGGGTGGCCTCGAGCGCCTCCCCTCCCCCTCCCCCTCCGGTGGCGAGGAGGAAGCTCGGTGAATGCCGATTCCTCCCAAACCTCCCAATCCGGGTACTCTGGGGCCTTTTTTTTTTTTTTTTTTTTTAAACACTGTCCAGGCTGGGCATTTAAAAATACAAATTATTTTTTAAGTGGGTGGCTTGATCGTCGGAGGAAATGAATTTTGTGTCACGGAAGTCGGGCGCGCCCCCGAAGCGTACGCATCTTGTGAGAGAAAGCCCTCGGCCCCGGTTAGGGTCCGAAAGGCGTTTCCGATCTGCCCTTAGCGCCCGTGGAGAGCGGGCTCCGGGTGGCCGTTGTGAAAGTCGGGCTGATTCTCATGTAACAACTGGAAGGATGCTTTTGAAAAGGGCCACCGGTGTGTCCTATTTTTGAGCAATCACGTGCGCTCCTCCTTGTGTCGGGGAACTACGACCACGCAACCGCCTTGCCCCCGCTCCTATTTCCCTCCAGAAGTTGCCAGATCTTCGATTGTTCCCATTATTTGTGCAGTAATGGCTGTCTAATGCCGTAGTGTGATAGAAGAGTATTTGGAGGGCAGGGAATTTTAAAAAGCGATTTCCTGTCACTTGAGACCAGAATTTATGTTAAAAAAAAAAAAAATCTAATGAGGGCGGTAATTGCAGTACTTATTTCGTGGTTCCTTCTGCCAAGTAATTACAGCGATGGGTGTGTCCAGGAGGCAAGGTGACATCTTAAACAAGAGTTGGCAATCCTTGCCAACTGAAACCTTCACCCTTAATGGGTGTGGGGAAAGGACTTCATCCTGGTTAAAACTAGTGTTATTTAAATGGGATGCACTCGTTCTGTACTGATATTTTTAAGTTATTTTATTAGGAGTTTGTATATGCTGGTTGAATTTACTATTTTAGGTGAAAGTATATTATAGGTATGTAATCGAAGTTTAAATTGTGAGGTAAAATTTAAAATATTTTAAATGAAGGGTAAGATGTGTTTTTTTCTTAAGTATAATTGAAAAAGAGAATTTTCCCTTGGTTATGGGTAGAGCTTATCTATGCTTTCTTGGTTCTTTGCCCCAGTGATAAATTTTTAAGTTACTGTTTGCATCGTTGATGCTTTGGGGTTTTTTGTTTGTTAAATTGACGGTCATCATTAATTTGGAAATTGTCCTCAGTTAACTATTATAAGACTTGGAGATTTAAAGTTAGAACTCTGACAAGTTAAAAGAAAAAAAGGTACATGAAAGTGGAATACTATTGCTCACAGCTCTTAGGTTTACATATAGTTGATATATGCTCTTTGCAGGGGGGATTGCTTTAAGAAGACTTGAGGCCTGGTGTGGTTAGGTAAATAAAAGATGTGAAAAGGTAGAAAATGTTGTCATTTGTCTAAATAAATAATCATTATTCCATCAAACTGCAAGGAGATCTCTTTCTGTTTGAGGAAGTTAACTATGACTCTATTAAAATGCAGGAAATTCTAGATTCGGCTAGAATGATATAATTTTTAAAAAGTAATTTGATGGGTTCTTTTTTTTTTTTTTTAATCCAAGATGCTATATATAGTAAATACTGTTCTACCAGTATTACTGATGTAATTACTGAGCTAATTTAGAGACTGCTTTTTATAAAGGTAAAAAACAAATACCTTTATTTCTGAAGTTGTAGGAAAATTTTAATTATGAAGCTTATATCTAAGTAGGACTTGGAAGAAACAGAAATGAAGGAAGGTTAGACGTTTGTGTGCCATTTCAAGCCTATGGATTTATCCATTTTCTTAGATTAGAATTTTGGATCATTTGTATAAAACCTTTCACTAGGTGAGCTCCAAGAGTACCCATACCTACTTTCGAGTGCCATTTAGGAAATATTTAATAGGTACATATTGCATTCACTTCACAGGTCACACCTAGTCTAGATTAGTATTTCTCAATAGGTGAATAAATCACCTGTGGTTTTGAACCTGAGAGTGAGTATAGTAATGCCTGGAAGCTTTCTCTGGCATGACAAGAGCAGTAGGAAGTATTATATAAAGTGTAGAAATAGAGTAAGAACTAGTCAGTTCAATAGTGAATTATTCTTGACTGAGATAAATACACGTTATTGAACTTGAGTTTTCCCAAAAGTATAATTCTTGTAGTTCTTGTAAGAAAATGTCATTCTCCATAGACAGAAATAAAAAACAAGTTGATTGGTGTATTTGGGAAAGGCTTACAAATTAGAATGCTAGGGAGTGTTGTGTTCGTGCTTTTAGTAGGTTTTAATCAGAACGTTGTTTGATACACAGATTTTTTTAAAACCTTCAACTCTGAGTTAGTAGTAAATATGAAAAACGTCTCTAAGTTTCTCTAAACACTCCAAACAAAAATCGCACAGTGCTAAGTGAGTAATTTAGGCTCCCATGTGCTTAGTTTATTCCTTGAAGCTCATCTGTGATCTTTTCTATGATTGCCTTTGCCTAGAGGTAGGGAGCTGGACAAGATGGTGTGGGACCGTTAAATTTGGACTTGCCAAGGAAAATTGAAAAATTTGTTTCCTTTTATAGCTAACATCTTCGTTTCTTCTTGAGGCCTTCAGCTTTCTTATAAACGAGCTCCCCCAAAATCTTCCTCCAACCATGTTTTGAGAACAAACCCAGTATCTACCATTCTGCACATAGCCCATCAGCTTTCATACATGCTACATTGCCTTCCACATCTGTCCCTGGGCTTCAACTGGTGGTTTCAGTTTGTGGAAATATATTTTACCTTCTGGGTGGAAGTTGAACTAGTAAGGTTGTTAACATTGTAGGTAATTTGATTTATTTATGTAAAATAATTATCACTAAACTCTTGGGCCAACCTTTGACATACCTTCTGATTTACTCTACACAATAACCCTGTTAGACAGGTATTATTGTGCTAACAGATGAAGTTGACTGAGAGGTTGAGTAACATGTCCAAAGCGTCATAACTATTAAGTTGCAAAGCACTATGCTTTTTCCTGCCCCATACCATTGCCCTTCCTTCAGAAATTATAGAAATCCTGCAAAATGAAATCAGACTAGAAGCAAATCCTCTCAGGAGTGGGAAGATTTTTTTTGCCAAGGGCCATTTGGACACTTATAACTTTTGTGGGTCATATAAAATTTTCAACTTAAAAATTAACCTGCTAATTTTGCTTAAACATTTAATTGATTCACCCCTAATGCCTTGGCATGGCCCTACCAAATGATTTCTTAGGCCTGACATTCCCCATCCCTATAGCCTCTAACAAAGGAAACAACTCAGTGGATTTTCTGGATTTTAAATCTTTTTACTAGGGAAAACAATCTGGCTGATTTTAAACCAGATTGCTGGAGATAATTTATTTTATAAATTTCTGCATTTGAACTAAATTATTGGCTCTTCAATTTTAATTACCAGACATTTGGCTTTTTATTTTTTTATTTTTCCTTCTTAATTTTTTAAAAATATATTTTATTTTATTATTTATTTAGAAGAAGGGAGAGGGATAGTTAGAAGCATCCATCAGGTGCCTCCTGCACACCCCCTACTGGGGATGTGCCCTAAACCAAGGTACATGCCCTTCACCAGAATTGAACCTGAGACCCTTCAGTCTTCAGGTTGATGCTCTATCCACTGAGCCAAACTGGTTAGGGCTCCTTTTTAATTTTTAAGAATGGAAATGAGTTGATTGCATTGAGATCAAAGCGAGCAGGGAAAGAAACGTCTGCTTTGTTTCTTAAATATTGTCATGCTGGCCCCTAGAGAAAATGTGATATTATTCTACATTAAGGTGTTACCCTTTCTGGGGTCTTTTTATTTAAAAAGAATGAAAACAGGCATTCCTTTTATTTTCATACCAAAAGTGAATGGATTAATCATAGTATGTTTGACTTCATGTAGGTATACAATACTAGATAGAAGGCTATTGTCAGTGCCTCCAGAGCCACATAAACAGTTTTCATGGGTATGTATACTGATAAGCAGGGAAATGTCCAAAGATGAAGAACAAAGCCTTTTGCAAATATCCTTATATATCCTTATATATTATGTGCTCTGAATTTTAAACTTAGAGGCGTTGGATATAACTCTTTAGCGTTTAATTCTCACTCTACTATCCTGTTTCCCCGAAAATAAGACAGTGTCATATTAATTTTTTCTCCCGAAGTTGCGCTAGGTCTTATTTTCAGGGGATGTCTTATCTTTCCATGCGCTAGGTCTTATTTTCGGTCTTATGTCTTGTCTTCGGCGAAACATGGTAGCTAACTAATACCCACTCCCCGAAATACAATCTGAGTCCTTCTTTCCCCTTTTGTAAGATAGGGCATAAGAAAACCATTATTTGGTTACTATGAAGACTGAATAAGAACAGCATATAAAATGGTTTTTGCAAATGCCTAAAAATAAGTTTTTGTTTTTTTTAAAAGTAAGAAGCAGTAACTTGATCCATGTGCTAAAGACATCACAAATCTTAGGCTCACTTTGGGATTTCAAAAGTCAAGAGAAGATGAGGCTGGACTTAACATTTGGTAAATAATGTAATTCAAATGTTCAGAATCCTGCATTCTCTGCAGTTGCCTGGCAGGTGAAGAGAAGTAAAAACTGGTAGCTTTCATGTTGCCCACCCAAGTAATCTTTTTAATAATGGGAGTTTTGCTTAATTTTGAGGTTTAGAAAATAACTTTCATGTCCAAATTATGTGTTTAGCCATTTATGGGGCAATTTTGAATATAGTCCTTGGGCATTACTTTTGGTTCAATGGAGATTTCTGTTAATTTTATATTTACTAGAGGTGAGCTTAAATTGAGGTATGCTAATTTTGAAAAGGAAACAATTATTCTATTGGATTCTATCTTTAATTTAGAATAACTCCAATTGAACTTTTTAGTGTTCCAGATTTTTTTTCCTTTTTTTCAATTTGTGTAAAATTTACTTTCAAACATATTCTGAAATATTTTCCTTATCTTAAATTTGGGCTCAAGACTGTTTAATTTAGAATGTAAACCAGATGTATGCATTCTCCATCTATCCTTTGTGCTTGTTGTTGGTACTAAGAAATGTTGAACTAAATGAAGTTTATGGTACATGCTGAACTTCAAAAACTTTAAAACTTGTTTTTGTAACTGCTAACCTACATAGTCTCAAGTCACTTACCTATGTTCTTGATCTCTTTGTAGGCTGACCAACTGACTGAAGAGCAGATTGCAGGTGAGAAATACTTTGCCTGATTGTACCCACTGGATTTTATTATAAACTTAGCCAATCCAAAATAAGATAGTTGTACGTAAGAACTGACTTTGCTCTATATAGTACATAGTAAATGGCTGTAATGTAATACAGTAATTGAACCTGCTTTGGCAAGTGAAAAGGTAAACTTGCCTGAGAAAGATGTGTGGGGCTAACTGTAATTAAAGACGTGGTTTTAGGCTATTTTTAGATATATTGGAGCCAGTGGTCTTTTGTTGTTGGTTATCTTTAAAACATGAATTGTAAGCAGTTTTTAATACTGTAACTCCAAATCAAGTCTCTACTAGAGAGCAACGTCATGTAACCAATAGGAAATTTGAAATGTGGAATCAGAAGATGAACATTGAATTTATGTCATTGTGAAAACAGCTAATTTTAACCGTAGAATTGCATATATAGTCAGGGAATAAACATTTTTTTCCAATGAAAAACCTAGATCTAAAGGTTTCTATTTACACATGTAAATAGCATTCTATTTTACACATGTAATTCTGTCTTAAAAAGTAGTGACAGCTATTTAAATGAGCTTCTTAAATCTTATCTCCTTTATGTTGTCTTTATGTAATGCCATTAAACATTAGTATTTTTTATTTTATTCTAATACTTTGAGATGTCTGATTAAAATGTTTTGGAAACTTGCTAACGTTTTGCTTTTTTCATGCAATATTGAAATATCTTTTAAATTCTACTCCTTTACTTCACATTACAGGGTTTTGTTAACACAAGCATCAAGCAGTTTTAACTGTTACAATTTTCCTGGTAGGCAAGGAGTTTGAAGTGCTCAGAAACACTGAAGTATTTTTTAAAAAAATATTTTTATTGATTTCAGAGAGGAAGGGAGAGGGAGAAAGAGATAGTAACATCAATTAATGAGGGCGAATTATTGATCAGCTGCCTCTTTCATGCCCCCATTGGGAATCAAGCCTGAAATCCCAAAATCCAGGTATGTGCCCTGACTGTAAATTGAACCATCTTGGTTCAAAGGTCAACGCTCAACCACTTAGCCACCCTGGCTGGGCTGAAGCATTTTTTAATACTAGAGAAAATTGAGAAACACTGCTAGAACTCAACTATATAGCCCATTTAAAGTAATCCCTTCCCACCCCTATAAACACAAATTTGGAGGAGCCAGACATCACTAATCCCAAATAGTCATCATGAATATTATTTGATAGGATTATATAAGATAGAAAGCTATTAGCATTAAGGATAAAATTTATGCATGTTTTATTTTTACTTGCTGTGTGAATTTGATTTAAACCTGGAATTTTTTTTTTCTAGAATTGGTAAATTGCATGTTGGTTTATATTATTTTTAAATGTATCAATGAAATGTAAAATTACTCTGAAATAGTTTTTAATATATCCTTCAGGAACTGACCTCTGGGCTATCTAATATTTCCATTCTTAAACTCTTACATTCTCTGATACATCTGGCTTCCCTCTCTGCCCACTTAGGTAGTTGTGCTTGTGCCTATTGTACACAGCAAAAATGTTAAGGTAGAAAATGTGTTAGTCAAAGTGCCTGTCACAGAATTGATGCTCATTATTGCCTTCCCAAGCACACACTTTAAAGAAAAATTCTATCTGTGAGATATAAGAATCTTCAATGATTGTTACAACATTTTTATCAAGAACAGTTGTAGTTCATTGGAATATTGTCTTTAAGATAAATTCTGTCATTTCATTGACTTCAATCATACAATTAAATTTCAAGTGGGAATGGAGGAAAATATATTAAAGATTCTCTCCCTACCCTGCCTTTTCCTAAGCTTTTAAAGATGCTTCTCAGACCCCAGGCTTTAATAAACCTCTAAATGTTTAGGTTAGAGGAACCAAAGCTTTTTTGCTGCTAATAAAAACCTTGTGAGAACAGTGATCTTTTTATTTTCTCTATATTCCCAATGATTTTCACATAGTAAGGACTGAGTAAATATTTCTTTAAGGAATAAGTTTTTTAGTTTCAAAGAGGACTATGACACAAAAAGTGTTCTAGAACACTACCTAACCTATCATAAGAATTATTCTGCTTCCAAAAATCCCTTCCTAAATTTGGTATGTTTCACTGTCTACCTTTGAGGTAGGTAAACACAGATTTTGTCTTTATCTGGTAAATTATAATCACTGATGCATTATAGCTATAAGGGTAAGAGAGTTGGTCACATCCACTTGGTGACCAGTAACATCCTAGCATCTAAGACCTACTTGTTGAATGTTAAGCTTCATACATGTAATGCAGCATTGAATATACTAAAGTACTTTTGAAAGCTATTTTTATCTTTATGTGACAATCACTACTTCAGATTTATTTAGAGATTTTAATAACAAGTAAAGAAGAAAAAAAGCTTGTTGTTTAGGTGGTTACTAGAATTGTTTACATTACCTAGTCTTAAAGACCAATCTAGAATAGTCTTAGTATGATTTCACAAGTTAATTTTATTTGACTCTGCCATGATGTCATTAGTAGTTGACATTTAGAGGACTAATAAAAAAATGTAACAAGAAGTTTTTTTTTGTTTTTTTTTTTTAAAGAAATTTGTGCCTAAACTGTCATTGAACTTTCAGTCTCAGGGTACAGTGTAGGGATAAAACTTGGTTGATAAAATGTATTAACTGTACTGTTTAAAACAACAATTACAGAGTGCCAACAAATATCTCATATATGATCTTTAAAAAGGGATTAAACTAAATATATAAAAGTTAGTAGGCATTTGATTTTTCTTTAGTTGTAATTGTTTATTGATATTTTAATAAAATTATAAACTTATATAATATAAAATAATTGGAAAAGGGTCTGGGATTGCTGATGAACATATAAAGTGTAAATAAGTTTCCTGAAGTTTTCAGCTTAGGCATAAGTAGAATGGATTTAGAGGAAGGTCCTATCGTGTTAAAAATCCTATTTTGTGTGACATTAAGGACCTGTTGTTTTCTTATTGTGTATTTAGTACTGGGTTTATATTTGAAATTATTCCTGAGAATTACTGTTTAAAACGGGTCGGCAAACTATGGCTCACGAGCACATGCATTCTTTGGCCCCTTGAAGTTTTAGCAAAGGCCAGCTTAGTAGTACCCTAATTAAGTTAATAACAATGTACCTACCTATATAGTTTAAGTTTAAAAAATTTGGCTCAAAAGAAATGTCAGTTGTCGGTACTGTTCATTTGGCTCTGTTGACTAATGAGTTTGCTGACCACTGGTTTAGAATGACATGCTTCTGTGCATGAAGATTATGCTAGTTTTAAAGTACAGGTAGTGAGCTATACAGGCAGATGAATTTAAATGGTACTTTGAGTTTATTATTTTAAGGAATTGTTATAGGTATATCTGGCTCTTTAAGAGTTACTAGATTTTAAAACTTATTGAAACTTAGAATACACATATATAAATTAACACTATGCATCTTCTAGAATTTGGCTTTAAGTTAAATCATAACCTATATAATAAAACCCTAATATGCAAATTGACTGGATGGTGGAAAGACTGGTCACTATGATATGCATTGACCACCAGGGGGCAGATGCTCAATGCAGCGCTGCTCCCACAGCAGTGCTAAGTACCTCTCGGGGGATGCCTGACTGCCAGCTTAGGGTCCCCGACTGTGAGAGGGTGCAGGCTGGACTGAGGAACTGCCTCCCCAATGCATGAATGTTGTGCACCGGGCTGCTAGTAGTAAAATAATAATACACATTGTGAATTTCGCACATAATGGTGGTGGTAAATGATGCCTGCAGCTAAGTGTTACAGTAGAGAATGTGGTATAAACAAATACAATTCTCCAAGTCCTTTAATTTTCTTGTAGCCTAAGTTATTAGGTGATAGATGCAATGTGTTAAAATCTTAATAATGGTTTGCTTATTTCTAGATATTATTTCTATATCCTGTTTTTAAAAAACAAAAAACAAAAAAACCTTAGAAATATTTTAATAAAATTTTGCTATTTGTGAAGTTTATTGATCTATTTTTGTCATTGATCTATATTACTATTGTATACTATTTCCATAACATCAATGAGTAATTTGGTATTAGATGATTTCCTCTGAAAAACAAGTATGATATAAACAAATGGAACTCTGTTACAATGCAGCAAACCACAACTAGTCAGTGATACCTGATTTAAACTAAGCAATTGAAAGATTTTTAAGCGGAATAAGCTGAAGCAAGTAATATGGTAATAAAAAAAGGCAAATAGGCTCTGGCCAGTGGTTAAGAGTGTCGGCTCAAGGACCAAAGGATCTTGGGTTCTATTCCTAGTCAAGGGCACATACCTGGGTTGCAGGTATAAAGAAACCACATAGGCTATCATAATTGTCCAGGCAAAAGGTGATGGTGCCATTACTGGTTGTAATGATGAAAAAATAATCTAGTATTAAACAGCAGATTTCAACAGGACTTGTTGACATATTTTTAGGGGAAGAGTTTTCTTGCTTGAAGTCAGCCAGAGGAGATGTCTGTCCTGTAGGAAGTCAAGAAATAAAGTATATTGTGTTATTGAGAGGGATGCAAAGGCCAGCTTTGGAGTACCCTAATTAAGTTAATAACAATGTACCTACCTATATAGTTTAAGTTTAAAAAATTTGGCTCTTAAGACATGAATGCATCATCATAAGTGGGCATAGATGAAATGGGCAAGGAGTGAAGAAAGGGTAAGAGAGTTGATCACATCTACTTACAAGAAACAAGGAGCCAAAAGCCTATGACATAAGGTAGGATATAAATTAAAGTACTATTATGGAGAAGTTTGAGAGGGTTTTGTGTAATTTTGGATACTGCAGGAAAATGAGATGATCATTCTCTTAATATTCATTAAGTTCTTACTTGCCAGACATAGTTTTGAGTGCTTACATGTAGTGATTACGTTCTTAAAATAAGGAATTAGATATAGTTATCCCTATTTAACAAAAATGAGCAACCTGAGGCAGAATAAGGGTATAGTAACTTAATTTGCTAGAGGTTACATTTCTAGTAAGTAACAGAGCTGGGATTTTTAACCTAGGCAGTTGAGTTTCAAAGACTGATTTGGAGTTTCTATGCTTTATGGCCTCACATACTGACTGACACATGCTCACTGGATTAGGCAATTAAGTCGTTCTTTGTTAACCTAGTATTTTCAGCTGATGGGCTGGAGCCGGTAGCAATTGTAATATAGTTGATTGATAGAGAAGAAATGGATATGAGTAGTGGTGCCTTCCAGAATTTGGGGAGAGGTAAGGATAGGGACTTTAAAAAAATAAAAAATAAAAAAAAATATACACACACACACACACACAAATCACACTAAGGTTTGAATTTAGTTTTAGGCAAAGACATAAAGATAGATAAATCAATGGCAAAATCAGTAGAATGGAAGAGATTGTGATAAATGAAACTTGGAGGTGTGTGGATTGGAACAAGGATAGACAGGGGATAAATAGACTTGTCCTGTAAGAGGAGGCATACCATTTCTTGTATCAGGTATATATTTTCAAATGTTCTAGATAATGTTTGGAGAGCATATGGCCCCTTGAACTTAGAAACTGCTTTTGTATTTGCTTGAAAAAGGAAGTAGCTTACTTGAAAAGTACTAGGTTTTGCTAGCTCATTTATATGACCTTGCACTGTCAGATTTAATCTCTGCTTTAGTTTCTCTGTAAAATAAATGGTAAACCAGGTATTGTGGACTGTCACTCCAACAGTTTCCCATGTAATCTGCTGGTGAAATAAAAGTAATGCCATTTTGTAAGATCTTAGTTTTAGGTAATAATATATTTCACTCTTTTATAAGTTTGAAGTTATATAATCTAAAGGAAGGTCTAAAATATCTTTGTTCTCAGTAATAGCTAAACCTGGCCATTTATATCTTGATCATCCTGTTAACATCAGTATAAACTATTTGGTGATAGATTCTTCTGTCTAACAGAAAAGATTACTTAGTCTATTAGCATATTGTTCTGAATAACGTTTTTGTTTTTAATTTAGTAGGTGATGAAGTAGACTTAATCCTAATTTTTGAGGAGTATATAATGCAAATAGTATAGTTGCTCTATAGAAATGTGTTTGGAACCAACTGTCTTTATTTTTCGGTTCTGAGTACGTAAAAGATCTGTAATTTTGAATTGTGTTCTACAGTGCAGCTTTAACAGAAAACAGGGAAGCCAGTCATTTGGGGTTTTGATTCTTTTCCTTTTTAAACATAGAATAATAAGGGTCTAGATATTGCAGTACCCTGTAAGATTTTAGATGAAAAAAAATTCCTAGTAGATCAATATGAGCATATACTGGTATGATTAGCTAAAGATGTTTAAAATGCTAGAAGTGGCTTTCCCATCTAAAACCTTCAGAAATAAAAATTCCATGTCAGGTGCTATCTTCATATATAGCTTTAAGAGTTGATTAATACATTACATTTAGGAGGTTATTCTTTGTGTTAACCTGTACATTTGGATTGTGGTTTCTCAAACAGAATTCAAAGAAGCTTTTTCACTATTTGATAAGGATGGTGATGGAACTATAACAACAAAGGAATTGGGAACTGTAATGAGGTCTCTTGGGCAGAATCCCACAGAAGCAGAGTTACAGGACATGATAAATGAAGTTGATGCTGATGGTAAGTCTGTAATTTTTGGGCTGGGGCGGGGGGGGTGGTGGTTTGAAGTGACATTTAAATTCTATGATGATGTTTCAATAAAACAAACCATTTCAGGTAATGGCACAATCGACTTCCCAGAATTTCTGACAATGATGGCAAGAAAAATGAAAGACACAGACAGTGAAGAAGAAATTCGAGAAGCATTCCGTGTGTTTGATAAGGTAGGTTTTCAGGGGCTGGATTTCTTAAATTTTAATTTGAGGATGAAATGAAGATAACAGTTCAGTATAAACTCCGATTTCCTAGTAATATGATTGCATAATTCTTGTGGCAAAGCTGGTATCACTTGGTTTTGGAACTAAGACATAGTGCTTGGATCTCAGTGATGTATAATTTATACGTCAGTTGTTAGTAGATTCTTTTTACTTTGGGTGGATTTCTAAAGTATGTTTTTCTTTCTAATGTGAAATTTAGTAAACTTCGATTCCAACTTTATGATCTTAAGTATTTTAATGACTTTTCTAGGATGGCAATGGCTATATTAGTGCAGCAGAGCTTCGCCATGTGATGACAAACCTTGGGGAGAAGTTAACAGATGAAGAGGTTGATGAAATGATCAGGGAAGCAGATATTGATGGTGATGGTCAAGTAAACTATGAAGGTAAGTCTCACTGTCACCCGTCTCATTCTCTGATTTGACCTTACATTTAGAGGTAGTAGGTAATCTGATAGGTCAAAATTACTAACTTCCTTACCCTATGAAGATGTTAAAACTATATTTTCTAACCTTTTGGTATTTAGAATGTGTGTACAGACTAGACAACACGTCCTGTTACCTGAGAACATTTTAGAGCTATTTATTAGGTTCTACCCCTATACTTGGGACCTGCAATTTAACAGGATTCCTGGTGGTTGATTTTATATGCACATTCAAGTTTGAGAACTCTATGCTAAACTGTGCTAAAACAATTTTTGTATAATGTTTGTGAAACAATTAGAAAAGCTTCAAACTTAAGTTCAGGATCCTCAACATGAAATTAAGGTGACTTTCTTTTCTTTGAGTCCCTTCCTCTACTTAACAGATTTAGTCTGAAACTGGTTTACATATATTTCAAATTAAGAAGTATCATTTGTAATACTAAACGAAGCAAGAATACTTTTTATAATAGCTATCTAAAGCATTAATTTGGTTTGTTAATTTTGGTTTATGAAGTTCCAGCTTTGGCAGTTAGCTTTCCTCAGTACTTTATAATTTTGAGGAAGGAAACGGGAATAGAGATTGCTTAGTGATTGAGTAAATGTGATTGATTTTGTTGATCTTTTGCCATTGATTGGCTCAACTTTTTGTGTATTTCTTCTTTTTCAGAGTTTGTACAAATGATGACAGCAAAGTGAAGATATTGTACAGAATGTGTTAAATTTCTTGTACAAAATTGTTTATTTGCCTTTTCTTTGTTTGTAACTTATCTGTAAAAGGTTTCCCCTACTGTCAAAAAAAATATGCATGTATAGTAATTAGGACTTCATTCCTCCATGTTTTCTTCCCTTATCTTACTGTTATTGTCCTGAAACCTTATTTTAGAAAATTGATCAAGTAACATGTTGCATGTGGCTTACTCTGGATATATCTAAGCCCTTCTGCACATCTAAACTTAGATGGAGTTGGTCAAATGAGGGAACATCTGGTTATGCCTTTTTTTAAGTAGTTTTCTTTAGGAACTGTCAGCATGTTGTTGTTGAAGTGTGGAGTTGTAACTCTGCGTGGACTATGGACAGTCAACAATATGTACTTAAAAGTTGCACTATTGCAAAACGGGTGTATTATCCAGGTACTCGTACACTATTTTTTTGTACTGCTGGTCCTGTACCAGAAACATTTTCTTTTATTGTTACTTGCTTTTTAAACTTTGTTTAGCCACTTAAAGAAAATCTGCTTATGGCACAATTTGCCTCAAATCCATTCCAAGTTGTATATTTGTTTTCCAATAAAAAAAATTTTACCCAACTGTTGCTCTGAATCTGAGTCATTTAATTAACTTTGGGTTTAATAATTTTGAGAATCAAATTAAGAACACAATCTAAATCTGGGAGGGGTGTTATATTTTAATCTCTATTTCCTAATGTTTTACTCATTGTGTTTTTAAAATATATTTTAATTTCAGGGAGGAAAAGAAAGGGAGAGAGAGATAGAAACATTATTGATGACAGAATAATTGATTAGCTGCCTTCTGCACGTGCTCCACCGGGGACTGAGCCCATAACCTGGGCATGTATCCTGACTGGGAATTGAACTCTGACCTCCTGGTTCATAGAGTTATACTTAAGTATGATGATTAGCCCAGCCGAGCCAAGGCTAATTTTAAACTTACTTTCAAATCTTTACCATATTACCTATTATTAGCAGGGTTGTGGTAATTGATAATTATTTTCTCAGTACAATCTGTAGCATGTTTGCTCTCATAATAAAATCATCACTATTGTAGTTAAAATTGATCCTGGAATGTAATTTTAATTAAAGATCTAATGCATAGCAAAAGCTTGCCAAGCTCTACTTAGTACTGTATCATCAAAGAAAAATGCTTGTTATGATCACTTCTAAACTTTTCCCAGTGGTACTATGTAACAATGTTTTCTTAGGACATTTTGTTTATCCTATATACTTAATCTATTTTATTGGTGAAGTCCTTGAAATCATTGACCCATTATGCTATTTCCATTTTTGGTATACTCAAAGCTATTTTCTCTTCTAGATGTTCCCTTGTGTGGGTTTCTGTACTTGTACCTTTCATCATATTATTTTAGTCTCTAGACCCTAGTCTGCCGAGCAATTTTCTTGAAGAAAATGATTCATAGTGATGGACTTGATTAATTTTACATTTGTGAAAATGGATTTTTGCTTGCCTCTTGGCCTTAAAATCCTTGATTTCAAACCTGGTGCCCAGTGGTTATTTTTTACCCTTCTATAATTTTTAAGGTTATATTAAATGAATTTAGAATCCCATTATTTAAAGAAAAATTGAGTTCTCTAGTCTCTTGCTACTCAAGTTGCCACAGAATCACCTGAAAGCTTCTTAGAAATGCAGAATCTTCTGCCTTGCCCCAGAATCTGAATTAATATGTATTTTAACAAAAGGCCCTGATGTTTGTACACATTAATTTTTTTAAAAGCACTGCTGTAGTTTATTCTGTTTATAGAGAGGAAAACTGATCATTTATTCAGTAATTAAATCCTATATTCAAGGGCTCAGAAGATAAAAACTGTTTTAGATATGTTTAAAATTGGGATGATTTATTACAATGAATCCTCCAATAAAGATAGGCACAAAGGTCCCTTTGGACTACGAGGGATTAAGCCAAGGGACTTCTCAGAGAAATTGACCTTTGAGAGGCTGTTTCAGGCTGTCAAAGGAAGGCTAGCATATGGGAGACCTTAGAAGTGTGAAAATGGCAAATTAGGGGTTTACAAGTACAGCTGACCCTGGAACAACATGGGTTTGAACAAAGTGGGTCTTAACACTCCTCCTCACCCCCTCCAAAATGTATAGCCTTCCATACCCCTGTGTTTCACATCCACCCATGCAGAGAGCCAGTTGTAAGCATTGTTCTAAGCCATGTTACGTATAAGGGCCATAAACATCTGAAGATTTTGGTATCCCTAGGGGTTCCTGGCACCAAGGGACTGTAGTCAAATGTTATGCATGGATTTTCCGTGGCTTGGGGTCCGCACCCCTAATCCAGTGTTGAAGGGTCAACTCTCAATACATGAAAGCGTGAACTGCTGTCAAGGGAAAGGAGACAATTGTAAATTTTGTTTTTGTCCTAAAAGTAAAGAGAGTCCATACTTACTGAAAACATTGTGCCAGACATGGTTCCAAACATTTCACACAAGTTAATCTTCATAATCACTTGTGGGGAGGTACCAGTTTATCACCTTAATAGACAGCACAAATCACAGCAAATGTAGCCAATGCCCCCCTAACCTTCAAGTTCTGGTAGAGAGGAGAGGGAGTGCAGCAATGACAAATGGAAGGCAAGTGAACACAGGTACTCCACAAAATGGAATTATTAAGGTTGAGGGGAGGGTTTGTTTTTAAAGATGGGAATGTTTATAGGTGGAAAGGCTACATCAAAAGAGGTTGAAAGTGAAAGGGTCTATACTGGTAGGAACGGGTGGTCTGGTTTCTCAGTGAATCCTGTTGGGTCCAGTGCTTACACCACTTCCAAAGGTAGGCTAGAGAAGTGACACAGAATTCCCATCTGGAGGAGCTTGGAAACAACCCCAGAAGTGGGTGCTAATGTTGATTTTTGCTTTAAAGCTAGTTATGCCTATCAAGCATTCCCTTTTTCTGAAGGAAGGGGTGGGGGTGATTTGTGAAAGGGCTGATGGCAATTATGGTATGTTCAAGCCTCTACAAACCGCCTTTAGAAGTCTCAGCGCAGCCCAGGACGAACCCCCAGGATGGGTGCCCAGTTGGTTAGAGCATCGTTCCCAAGCCCTTGGGGTGTGTGTATCTGGTATCTGTCTCTTGCGTCTGTTATTGTCTTTCTCTGTCTCTTTTTCTTCCTCTCTCTTTAAAATCAATAAATAAACTTTAAAAAGTCTTGGTGCAGATACCTAAAGGCTTTCTGGCGACTCCTCAAGTGTGCGTGCCCGAGGCTAAGCGCAGGACTTCAAAACGTGGGCCGCCTGACTCCCCTCCCCCACTGGAGAAAGACGGGGATGGGGGTGGGGGGAGACTGCGCATGCTCGGACGCAGCTCCCTCTCTCCCCCGTCTCCTGGCAACTGGACTCCAGTCTTGGCCTTGGCACTGCGGAGGTCGCAATGGACCAGCCAGATAAGGCCGTCACTTCTATCCCAGTAAGGGAAGGCTTGAGGCATGGGGTTCAGTGGTCATGGCCTGGGTACTGCCGTTCCCCCTAATGCGCCCAACTACCGGTCCCCTTCGCCCCTCTCTTCTGCCAAGATGGTCCCAGGCCTTTGCACCGCTCCTGTTCTCTCTCCTCTCTCTGTTCTTACCACCTTGTAGTCCTTTCTTCTGACCTTTGAGTTCTTCGTTTTATTTCCTCTGTCCTTGCTACTCCCTCATCCTCCCGATTGCCCTTGGTTATCTGTATTTTCCCTCTTCCCTCCTACTAACACTGGAGAAGGCTGCTTTAATGGTGATTAGATTTCTTTCATTTCCCTCTAACGAGAGAGTGTTTTTGTTGTTGTTTTCAGTCTATGAGCCCGTTTTTGAGTTTAGTCTTTATAAAATATTTTAAACTACCTTTGTTTAGTTTTTAAATTTGGGTTAGGGATGTTTAGCCTATCTTTTGTAAAGTGATTCACCCCTAAAGCGAATTTGAAGTGGTAGATGGGTGGAGTTTAGATCACCTGCCTTGAGCAAAACAAAGCAGCAGCTGCCAGTCACCTTCTTTTGGATATTTATCATGTTTACTTCTCCCTTGTCCTTCCCAACTAATTTTCCTGGCCCAGGCAGAGGTGGGAGATCTGCCTTGACAGGTCTGGGGAAGTTCGATTTCTGTGACTATAAATGTGCAACAGAGAACATTCAATATAAATCTAACAAAGGCAATAGATAGGAAGAAATTCAGATAGTGTGTATGAAACAAGGCGTTTCTTAGAGAAATGCACATATTACACAGTAAAACTAAAGCCAGGGGTACTCATAAGTAGAGTAGATTAAAGTTGCTAGACAGGAACAATGAGTTATATCAGTTTTGCTAACTTGATCGTTTATTATTTTTAATGTGTTGTTGTTTGAGATAACCCATATTTTGTACTAATAACAAAAACGTTGTAAGTGAAAGTAGAAATCAATATTTTAATGATTTTACTTAGTGGGAATAACACAAAAGGAAACACTGACCAATCGTGTTCTGTTAACTGAAGCTGAGTCAAATGTGGAAAATAATAAAAGGGTATATATAGAGTACTTATTAAGGAAGACAAGAGTGTCCTTGGAAACTGAAGAATACCAAACTAATCTGTTTTTTAACTTGGCAGATGAGATGTTAAAAATAAAAGCTACCATTTATTATGGGATACTGGCCGTGGGTGCAAGTGTTTATCTGCACAGCTAGAGGTCCGGGGCAAAATTTTCAGCTTGGCCTGCATCCTCTTGCAACCTGGGACCCCTCGGGAGATGTCCGACTTCCAGTTTAGGCCCTGTGGGGTTGGGCCTACACTGGCAGTCAGACATCTTTCTTGAAATCTGGGACACTGGCTCCTAATCGCTCACTTGCCTGCCTGCCTGATCACCCCTAACCACTGTGTATCCCTGCCTGATCACTCCTAACTACTCTGCCTGACTGCCTCATCGCCCCTAACTGCCCATCTGTCTGCCTGATTGCCCCTAACTGCCTCTGCCTTGGCCCCCGCTGCCGCAGCTTA